AATACATAGAGAGAGAGGGAGTATCTGAAATTATATAGAGCATGGAATATGCATATTATGTATGGACATGTAATGTATATACATGTATATACACACATAACACAGCACACGCAACACGTACATATAGATGTGTATATATGTATAATGCAATAAATGAATACACAAATAAACACACAAACACACACACATACTCACCACACACACCACACACACACACACACATAACATATATATAGAAATATAATATATATATATATATTATATATATATATAATGTGTGGTGTGTGTGTATGTATGTGGTGTGGTGTGTTTGTGCGTCGTGTCTAGTGTGTGTTGTAGTGTGTGTGTGTGTGGTGTGTGAACTACGCTGCATATATTTACACACACATACCCAGTATATAGATAGATGGATAGGTATAGATAAAAACCCATTATAAACAAAACATTAAATACATATATAATATATATAGTATGTATAAGATACTATATCGATAATTATATATAGTATATACTATATATATATATATAATATATTCGTTTATATAGGTGTATATATATGTATATATAGAGATATATATATATTATAGATAGATCTATATATAATATTATATATAGATGCATATATAAATATAATATGTATATTATATATAGATATATATATATATATATATAAAAATAAATATTTTTTTTATTAAAATATATATATATGCAGATATAATATATATATGCATATATATATTATATAATATATATATTATTAATATATATATATTAGTTATATAGTATATATACATATATATAATAGAGTTATATATTAATTATATATATATATATATATATATATATATCTATATTGTATACGTATATTGATACACACACACAAACACACACAAACACACACCACACACACATACATATATAATATATATATATAGATAATATAATATATATATATATAATGTGTGTGTGTGGGATTAGTGTGCGTGCAGTGTATGCTGTGTGTTAGTTGTGTAGTGTGTGCGTGGTGGTGTTTGTGTGTGGTGTGTGTGGGGTGTGTTGATTGTGTTGTGTATGGTAAGTAGGTATGATGTATATGTATATCTATATATTTTATATACATTAAATATAGCTATTGATAATTAACGTGTGCGTCAAATATGTATGTGTTTTAAAAAATCACATAATTGAGAATTAATCGTAATTTAGGTGATATATTTTGTCGTGTTTCAGATCATCAGTCGAACAAAACTATGGAGAAAGATCTGAACAACTAAATTTACAGTATAGCACGTTATTGGCGAAGGAATTTTATCATCCCTAGTAATCTACAGACAGATTGTCTCCAAATCTATTGTTTTATTTGCGCTTAGATGTTCGGGCAACAGTCGTTAACAAGTGCTTGATTCTTGATCCATCGTTCTCATTCAGGAATGCATGAGTTCTATTGTCTCGGGTCGAGATATGAAATACAGGGGTTTTGCTCTGCCTACAGGCA